TTACCTCATCGAAAACTTGTGCAAAATTGAATTCAAATGGCAAAAAGAAATGAAATGACGCTGCTGACCAAGTCCATACCTACAAATGTAAAAATTGAGAGACCAAAACCTACAAAATTATGAGCTTACCTTATTGGAAGGAGCCACGAACTCCTTGAATCCTCTACGATAGCTATCCATCTGAGCATCAAACGGTCGCCGAGTAATGCAGACGTCCTCAAATGGACATTGCTCTCATAAATAGTGGAATATCAATTCAAGGTAGACTTACGATAGCAGTGAGAATGTCCATACTATCCATATTTACAACCAGTTTCGGTGAAACTGCAGATAGACTAGATGGTGAAGCATCGAATGTGAGAGATGGTATGCGCCAAACCATCCTACAAAACAAATCACCTCTTTCGTAAAAAATCAAATTTTTAGAAATACCTGTGATGTCGGGGCAGCTCCAATACTAGCTCAACAGTGTGAGTAGTCAGAACACGATACTGTGTCAGTTTCTTACTCTTCTGCGGGGAACCGTTACCAGACTCGGGTCGCCGAAAGGTTCTAAAGTCATAAAAATCTAGTATTTAACCGGGAAATCGGAGAGCAGTAAGTCACCTTAGTATCACTTGTCTCATGTGATGTATTACTCGATGTAACAATGGAGACCAAACGATGTAAATAGGAGAGCTTGATGAGCAGGTTACGCTCGTGTTGGCAGGAGACAGATTCTCGACGGTAAGGCAAAGCACATTCGTTTCGAAGCACTGGAAGAGCGAAGCATTCCTCTTTATCGGTCGAAACCACAACCATACCACTTACCAAGAATGGGTTATCTTTCCTGTGCTCATCCCATGCAGCGGCTCTCTGATTTTTACGCCTGAAAAATACTAATCCAAGGGTGTTTGATGTCACAAATACTAAGACGGGGAAATTGTTTCCACTGTTACGAGCATTCGAAGGCGTTTTTGGAAACTTCGGTGCTATGGGTTATGGATTAATACGACCACTTATAGTAGGAGAACTTAAGCAAGCTGTTGCCCAAGTGATACCTTATGTTTCGCTCGTAAAGGAACCAACTACAAACTCTGGTAATCTCTGGTAACTGGTAATCAAAAACTCAAACTCACGCATCATTCTTCGTCTGATTCCAGCATCGCCAGGGAGGATCCAAATTCAAGTTCCTAGGTGGTATGTATTGAGTTACCCTTCTCAGAAGAGTTAGATCTACACCAATAGGTTGTACAGGAGCACACTAAAACTGGGTTCAATACAATGAGTGTTGAAGATGTGAAGATGCCGCTTACAAATAACACAAACCACTATTCGCGTATGTTCTACTGATACTGCGATACTTCGCGCAGTTGCAATTTGTGCTTCCACATCATCACAAGTGAGGGCTAGATAGACAGCTTCTTTGGCTACAGAAATCAACGCAGCTCTGAAAATCCATTTCCAAACAAAATAAAAGGGAAAAATTGAGCGGCAATATGTAACCAAACAAACCTTTTCATTTGTAGTCGCAAGTTGATCTTTTTCTTTGCATCATCCTTTTCATTATGCGATTCACTTGTGGATATGACTTCTAACAGCTGTCTGATCTGTAAACTGGTAAATCAACAATGTTTGAAGATAATATTTCTAAAGTCTACCTGATCAGCCAGTTTATCGCTCCACTCGATTTTACAGTCATCTACACCTACTAGAATTCCTTGGACGTTGTCCTTGAAACTACACTGTATCAGCGCCGCACCTATATAGACCTAAAACAGGACAAACTGTTCTCAAATAGTCAATGAAAGAAAATGTGAGCTCTCACTGAATGATTCCACTGGTGATGTTCAAATGTCGCGTTCGTAGTATTCACGCTCGGCGCGGTGATACACAGACAGTCAACACCGATTTCAAGTACTTCGCTTGTCTGAAACATATTATTCAAGCAGCAAATTTCAACTTTCGAGAACTTCACCTTTGTAATGCTAAGATACTGTAAGGAGAGAATTGACTGGAAAGAATCTAAATCGACGAGATCGCAAGAAATCGAAGCCAACTCCACAGCAAATATGACTGGGACATTACGTTGTGATGATGTTGCGGTTGGTCTAGGTGATGCCTGAACAGATGGTACAGAGTGAGAATGGTTTTCTGGTCATGGTATTTTAGCCGAAATCTGAAAGAATGTAGCCATAGTCGCTCGTAATTCTAGTAATAATCAAGCGATTTTAGAGTCGAGACTCGCACATATAATTCTAAGATAAGTAAGATCAACTGAAGGAATGAATTGTTGGAAACCCATGACTAACCATTGGTTTTCCAACAACGGACACCACACAGGCTTCGGTGTGCTTCTTCCACCAAACAACGTCTTCAATCGAAAGTTTCGTTTGTACACTGTCCGAAGAAATTTGTATGCTCGTTCCAGACTTGTGAATCTTCAGATCAGAAATTGGCAAATGATTAAGCATTACTATGTTTATACCTTACCTCCTGCGAAAGCACGATGAGACTAGTCCTCAAAGCCAATTTTTGGCCTTGGTCCTCTACAACTAATCCAGATATGCGTGCTCGGCCTTT